TTGTTAATTCCTGTTATTTTTTGTGGTTGTGTTGTGTTGTCCTTCTGTGGTGTATGTTGGTGTGGGATTATCTATTGCTTGATTTTTCATGGATGTGTTTAGTTTCTTTGGGTTGGATTTTCCCTTCTAGTGCTTTCTGTAGGGCTGGGTCTTTCTTTTTTTAAGACAGTGTTTAACTATGAGGCCTGCCTGCCTGGGAACTCCCTATGTAGAGTAGGCTGGACTTGAATTCACAAAAATCTACCTTCCTCTGCCTCTGAGTGCTGGGATTAAAAGCATGTGCTACTATGCCTGGCTGAGGTTCTTAAAGGGGTTAAATTCTAGAAGAGTTGGGCAATAATACCTTTAGCAATAGTGAAAAACTGTCAAGTCTTATATGTATAAATCTTGAAAAACTTATTATTAGTACTGCGTATGTACAATGTCTATGTGCTTGCATGTGTAGGAGTATGTGCCACAGTGTGCATGCAGGACCAGAGGGCAACTTTGTGGAAATGATTCTCTTTTTCTGTCTTTATGTGGTTTATGGGGATTGAACTTGGATTGTCAAGGCTTTATCCACTGAGCCATTTTGCTGGCCCAAAGCTTAAATCTAGATAAGGTATAATTGCTTACACACCAATAATTGACAATAAAAGGAAGGTCAGGTGGGGATGCAGCTCAGAAGCTCTCTGGTGGAGTATCTGAAGCCAGGAATTTAAGAAATTACAGGGCAATATAGTGAGATGCAATCTCAAACAAAGCCTGTGGGAGCTGGAGAGATGGCTCAGATGTCAAGAGCATTTCTTGCTATTGCAGAAGACTTGGGTTCAGTTCCTAGCACCCAGATGGTGGTTTGTAACCATCTGTGAACCTGACACCCTGTATACACACTCTTACACATTAACATTAAATAAATAAATCTAAAATGTCTAAAGCTTTGTGATTTGTTTGTTATTTTATTTTACTCCACTGTTTAAGGGGTAAGAACTATGCCTTATTCCTCTCTGTCTTAGCTGAAGTCAAACGCGATGTACTTAACAAACATTTGCCCATTTCTTCACGTCAGTCACAACGGTGGGGAAAGGGCTAAGACGGAAGGAGAGATATGCTTTTTGTTTACTATTTTAGGTTAGCCATTGACTTTAAGGCTGGGGAACTTGTCCAGGCTCAATTAATCTGGGTAATCTCAACACTCCGGAGGCAGAAGGAGACGGATCTCTGAGTTGGAAGCTAGTCTGCCATAAATTGTGAATACCAGGCTAACCAGAGAGGCACAGTAAAATTATGTCTCAAAAACAAAGAAGCAAGCAAACAAACAAACAAAAAGAGGCCCAGGAACGTGAAAAGCAGACTATCAGTCACTTAAACCACCACCCCAGTGTGGTGGTATTGTGCTCCCAAAATATTGTGCACCCTAATAAACTTATCTGGGGGTCAGAGACAGAACAGCCACTAGATACAAAGGCTAGAAAATGGTGGCACTCACATCTTTAATCCTAGCACTCCAGAGGTAGAAATCCCTCCGGATCTCTGTGAGTTCAAGGCCACATTGGAAACGGCCAGGCATGGTGACACACGCCTTTAATCCCAGAAAGCGAGCCTTTAATCCTAGGGAATGATGGTAGAAAGCAAAAAGGTATATACGGTGTGAGGACCAGAAACTAGAAGCATTTGGTTGGTTAAGCATTTGGCTGGTTAAGCATTTGGCTGGTTAAGCTTTTAGGTTTTGAGCAGCACAGTTCAGCTGAGAGTCATTCGGATATGAGGACACAGAGGCTTCCAGTCTAAGGAGCGGGATCAGCTGAGAAGTTGGCCAGGTGAGGTAGCTGAGGCTTGTTCTGTCTCTCTGATCTTCCAGTATTCACCCCAATAACTGGCCCCGGGTTTGATTTTATTAATAAGACTCTCTAAGATTCCTGCTACACCCCAGACATCAGTACTCCTACTCCGGTTAGCCTTCAATAGCCTACATAGAATCAGGAAAGTCATAACTTCGGGAAAATTAAACTGCACTCGTAAAAGAGGAACTGAAAATCAGTGTCAGCATTCACTGTCAGATGTGGTATTTCCTTAACAAAACCAATGGGGGATAGCCGAATCAGAGACTGCTCACGGAACTGCCTCTCGTCTTTTTTTTTTTTTTTCTTCATTTAATGTGTGTGGGTGTTTTGTTTGCATGTGTGTACTATGTACCATGTGCATGCCTCAAGGAGGCCAGAAGATGGTGTTGGCCAGAAGGCCACAAGACTGGAGTTGCAGAAGGTTGTGACCCACCATGTGGGTGGTGGGGATCAAATCCAGGTCCTCTGGAAGAGAAGAAGCCAATGCTCTTAACCACTGAGCCATCTCCCCCATTCACTTTTCTATTCTTAATCTTAAATTTGATTCTGTTTTCCTAGCTATAACTGGGGACAAAGAATTGATCTGTATAGTTTTGTTGTTGAGTCTTTTCATCATCAAATTGTCTGTTGCTATGCCTAGGACCCACAGTCATACGCTTAATGAATCTCAAATCCTTAGTTAAGCCTGCTCAAGGAAGCAGGCTAGTTGAGCTAGGAAAAACTTATCTTGGGTCAGGAATCAGGAGAAGAGCACATGACTGCCATTGTCTGCCTAGTCAGCAGCAGAGTCCTTGATGCATGAAAGTTGAGAGTCTTAAAATTCCTTTACAGACTTTCCTCAAATACTCTCACATAGTGAAGATTATGAAATTAAAATATACCTCAAAGCTGGATGTGATGGCACATGCCTTTAATCCCAGCATTCAGGAGGCAGACAGGCAGATCCTTGTGAGTTCAAGGCCAGCTTGGTCTATATAAAAAAATTCTAGGCCAGCCAGGGCTTCATAGTGAAACACTGTCTCAAATAAATGAACAAACCTTGAAGAGATTCAAAAGGCCCCATATACAGACACAAACAAAACAGGTGTTGGCTGAAAATCCAGCCAACAGCAGTAGAGGCTGCAAACATTTTGGGTGAAATAGGAAAGAATGGAAACATTTTGTCTAGTCAAAATGTTAAGCTCAGGTTCAGTGAGAGAACCTGTCTCAAAAAATAAAGTGGAAGTCTATACCTGATACTGATCCTCTGTCCTCTACAAAAATGGAAAACACTAAGCTAATTGTTAAAAAGAGGGGGGAAATCTTGCCTCCCTTTAAAGACTTCTGTCCCAAGACAGTACATATGATGTTTGACGCAGGAGAAAATGGTGCGGTCTCTCCCAATGGCTTTAAGCCTCGGGGCTTACAAAGTGTGAGTTCGCGGGCACTTCCTGAGCAATCAACATGCTCCAGGAGTTACTCTTCTAAGAGCTAGACAGAAATGAGCAACGTAAGCAGTTCTGTCAGGACTTAGACTTCAGTAGCTCCCATGTGCAAAAGACTCGTGGGAATAAGGAAGACAATGCAGTCTATTCTGCCTGGGGCTGTGAAGGCAGAGGATCGCCAAAAAGGTAACATCCGAGGTAGGCTTTGAAGGACGCTGCCTACCAGCTCCTGGTTCAAAGTGTCACCACCCGGTTCACTGGGAAGAGAAAGTCTCCTGAATTTACAGCGCATGTATTTATAGAAGCAGACTCCTATAAAAACCCCGAGGCAGGCAGTCTTCTCGGTAATCATCTCCATTTCACTGGAGACACTGTGATTCATAAAGCAAAAGGGTGTCAGGTGGAGATGCCAGGTCCTGAACCCAAATCGACCGGTCTGACACCGGGCGAGCTGTGCTCAGACCGCCAAGTCCGAGCCCCTGAGTGCGGCAGGGGGCTGGACCCGGAAGTTGAGAAGAGGCCTGAGCAGAGACCGACCCCTGCAACCACCCACCGGTCTCTCGGGCCTGCGCTCCAGCCCCGACTTCTCAATCACTCACCCGCCGCTTGGCGAGAGGAAGTCGGTGTCATCTTCGTCTCCGGCCCCGAACATCCCGTCGGCTTTAGCACGGCTTAAGGGAGGAAGTCGATGTTCCCAGGGCCTGTCACAACCGATGTCGTAAATTGCCGCAGCCGCGAGCTGCTTTCCGGCAGGAAAACTCTCTCCCGGTAGTGGGGCCCAGAGGAGACCCGGCGGCGGAGAAGGTGGAGCAAAGGCAAATGAGAAGGTGAGCTCCTGGTGACGCAAGGCCTCGCCAGCCCTCCGAGGGGGTGGAGTTCCTAGGCTCTGGGTGACGATTGGTCAGATAGCGCAGGGGGCGGGGCCGGGGCGGGAATCGGTGGCCTCTGCTGCAGTCGTGGGACGCGTCGAGCCCGACAGTAGTGGCGGGGGTTTGGGAGAAGTCCAGACCTGGTGAGGGGTTCCAGTTCCAGAGGAAGGCACGGGCGGCGGAGCTCGACCTGGGAGGGTAAGGCCTGTCCCTTCCCTTTCCCAATCCCAGTGTGTCCGCTGTCCTTTCCCCTCCCGAATCAGGACCCCCCGCAGCTCCTCCGGGCTTGGGCGGAAAGAGAAAGAGCGGGCGACTACAAGTCTGGGGATCTGAGCCGTGCGGTGGCCTGTCCCCCCACAGCGTTATTGCGATTATGACCTTAGGCAGGGTGCTCGGTGCCTCAGTTTCCCCATCTACGCAAAGGACCGTGTGTCCAGTGTCTCCGTGTGCGGTTTGCCAAGGTTTTAAAATCTCAGCGATCATCGAGTCGGATCCGGGTCTCTTCTTAATCAACGAATTTGCAGAAAAGAAAACAGGAGAACTAACCACTTGGGTGACTAGTCCGAGGTCACGCAGAGTAAAGGGCAAACCTGGTCCTTTGTATCAGGGTTTGGAGAGCTAATGAGTGAAGGAGAACCCTGGCCCTTAACTAGACTGTGTGGCATACGGCTTGAGAAAGGACCTCGTTTCTAAAATTCAGATAGGAGAGGTCTAGAAGAGCTGGGATATTCGGGAGGGTGGGTGATGGAGGGAACTTTGAAGGTAGAAAATCCTCAGCTCACTTTTGCTGGACTGAGTTTTGCTTCCAAGGTTTTAAGTCAACATTAGTTGTTGCTGACTTCTCCGCCTCCAGTTTTCACCGTGTGTGTGTGTGTGTGTGTGTGTGTGTGTGTGTGTGTGTGTGTGTGTGTGTGTGTGTGTGTTCTGTATTTCTTTGGGTAACCCGGTATCATTTTTGAACAATCATGAACCAGACAGACCTGGTTAGCCACGCTGTGGATAAGCCGATAGCGTGTCCCAGTGTAGCGTCCATTTCCACAGATCTCATTGGAGTTCTTTCTCTGAGTTTTTCTTCTCAGTCAGGTTGGCCCTGTAAGTGTCCCTTACCGGAATGCTTTAGTCTGTTGGATGATGTTGAAGGGACGGGTAGCTGTCTCCCAGAGAACTTTGTACCTCTTGGCACTTCCCCTGTGGGGCTCTTTATTATAGTTTTTGAACTACTAAGTTGTAAGTCTTCTTGCCCACAGTGGGTTCTCATTAATTTTTTATTAGATTGAATAATAGAATTTATCCTTGTTCCTTAATTTACTCTCATTCCCGCCCCCTCCCCGTGTGACCCAAAGAGCCAACGATGGCTCTTGTCTTTAATAGGTAGCTTCCAGAAAGATAAAAATGCTGTACTGGCTGTGAACTGTCTGTGTTGCTTGGTCTCTTTTGTTCATTGAAGGTGACTGCACTATTGTCTAAAACTCCAGGGGAGGGGAAAGGGGAAATAGTGTAGCTAGAAATATTATACGTTACTTATAATTTTTGTAAGTAAATTATTCCTGTTTATCTGCGGATAAGGCTGTTGGTCTGCTTCCTGTGTTTATTTTACAGATTAAGATGGTTACAGCAGTGAAATCTGACTGTTAAAGCAAGGATAAACTGGAATCTGTGCAGAGGGACTGGAGCCTAGAGCAGTAGCTCTGTTTACATTATGAACTTGAGTTGGGAGGAGGGGATGAATGGATAATAAATTCTAACCCTGCCCTAGGTCTGATCACTCCAGTACTAAAACATTTCAGTCTTGCTTTCTTTCTTTTTTAGTTTTTTTGGATTATTTTTGTTTTTGTTTTTTGTTTGGTGTTTTGTTTTGTTTGAGACGGGGTTTCTCTATGTAGCCCCAGCTGTCCTGGAACTCATTCTGTAGATCAGGCTGGCCTCAAACTCAGAGATCTGCCTCCTCCAAGTGCCAGGTGTGCACCACCACTGCCCAGCTTGGTTTTGTTGTTGTTGTTGTTGTTGGTTGCTTTTTTGTTTTTTGAGATGGTCTATTTATGTAGCCATGGCTGTCCTAGAACTCATTATGTAGACCAGGCTGGCCTTGAACTCTCACTGAGATCCATCAGCCTCTGCCTTTCAAGTGCAGCAATTGAAAACTATGTCACTACACTGGGCTAATAATGTTTTTGTTTGTTTGTTTGTTTGTTTGTTTGTTTGTTGTAAACAGGAAACCTTAGAGAGTGTCTGAGCTCTTTTCTTGTATTCTTGGATGGAGGTGTTTTTCTCATGGGTGTTTTAAATGGCCTTTCTTAGGTATTCATTAACCCTAAAACTGGCCTGTTTGGTGATTGGGACACTCTAGGCAGGCATAATATCTGATCTTGAATTTCATTCGCAACATGAGGAAGAGAAAGGTAGAAATTGGTCTTCCTCAGTCTTTCAGGCTTAGAGTTGGAAATGTAGGATCTGGTGCTTCTGAAAAGCCAGTCATTCTGGTTTAGGACATCTAGCTTGGTACTACTGGAGTTGGAGTCTGGAAACCTGAGTTCCTCCCTAGCCTTTATAATGTGCTCAGAGTTTAGGTCAGGTTTCCTAAATACCTTTAAAAAGGGATAAGATGTAGGCATGTCTGCTGAGAACTGGGAGTGCAAAGATAAGTAATAAATACAACCCTAAGCTCAAGTTCGAGTTCAGTATGTTTGTTCATTTCATTTTCTGAACCATACAGCACTGAAATATGTAGAAAGTGTGTTGATCATCAAATGTAGTAGCATACCTCTTTGATCATAGCACTTGGAAAGCAGAGGTAGGTGGATCTTGAGAATTAGAGGCCAGCCAGGCCAACATAGTGAAAACTGTCTTTAAAATACACACACACACACACACACACACACACACACACACACACACACATATATTATACATACATACACAGAAAGAGAGAGATTCCCTGAAGATTAACTAGGAAGCATCAAATTTAATAATTCCTTCAAATCAAATTTTCAAAAAGATGATAACTTTTATATCAAACAAATCTTCCAGTGGTATAGAGATATGGATTGAATGTAGATTAAAAATATGTCTATAGTATTCTATTCATTCAAGTTGCTAAAGGCAGAAGAATATAAAATACAATTTGAGAAATATCACCTCAGAGACTACTGTGTGTAATGCTAGCCTTTGTGTAGATCAGGAATGAACTCTCTAGGAAATTATTGTAGAATACCAAAGTAGGAAGAGATCATATCTCTTCATTATAATCCAAAGGGAAACTGGGTTGAAGTTTAGTACCAGTGCCCTAAACCATGCCTTACCTCAGCCAATCTGCAAAACCCCATGTTCTAGGGATTAACCTTTCCTTTTTAGACTCCTGAACTACTGAAATTGTAGGGTTACATAGAGGGCTTTGACGATGAGTAGGATTCCAAAAGGACACTGGGAGGTAAGGCTTTCCAGGTTGAAGAAGCAGCTTTGGCAAACACAGGCAGGTGCATGTTTCTATGGCACTGGGAATTGAAGACAGAATTTTGCACAAGCTAGGCAAGCATTCTGCCACTAAGCTATATATCGCCAGCCTAAAGGGGGCTTTGCAAAATTTTCCAAGACAAGAGATGCCCTTTGACCCGCTGCACCTAGGACTGTGGCCTGGCTAACTAAAGTGTGTTAAAGTAGGGGGTCATGCACACTTTACATATCTTATTCCAGCTTAAAACACAGTACCTCTGTGAGTTTTGTTGTTTTTAACCTAAAGCCTCAACTTTTTCTTGGAATATGGTTCTCAGAGATCAGCAGACTACAGGCGAATCTTATCTCAGCTGCCTGTTTTCCAGTTTTATTGGAACACAGCCATGCTCATTTATTTGCATATTATCTATGGCTACTTTCATCCTACAAGGTAGAGTTGAGTATCTGTAGCAGCAATGACGTGGTCCACAGTGCCTAAATGTTTAGTCATTGGTCCTTTATAGAAAACTTATCAACCCTGGCCTGAATCATATATGGTTGCTTTCTTCAACATACAATAACTACTTCAAAGTCACTCACAAAGCAGCCTGACTACAAATTTTTTCTAGAGGTTTATGAAAATTTCTGCCAGCCTTTAGAGTTGATTCCTGCATCCAACAGCAGATTGTGGGCATCTATATGACTCCTTCTTATCTAGTCTAGCTGAAGCATTCAACTTGATTTTCATAGACACAACCACTAGAATGGCTGTGTAGAGTAGAAGTTATGTACTTAAGCTTTGGGGTCAAATTTCTTCACTCCTTATTAATTGCATAGGCCTTGGGCAAGTTGCTATGCTTTTTCCATTATAAAATAGGGGTTACAATAGTACCCATTTTCTTTTTTTTTTCTTTTTTCTTTTTTTTTTTTTTTTTTGGTTTTTTGAGACAGGGTTTCTCTGTGTAGTTTTGGTACCTGTCCTGGATCTCGCTCTGTAGACCAGACTGGCCTCGAACTCACAGAGATCCACCTGGCTCTGCCTACCAAGTGCTGGGATTAAAGGCACGTGCCACCACCACCTGGCAGTACCCCATTTCCTAGAGTCATATGAGTTAATTCACATAAGGCATAAAGTACTAGAATAATACTTGCAGGTAGTTAAGTACTCAGTTAGTGTTAGTATATCCGACCTAGCAAGGATGATACCTGTGTCCCCACAGTTTGGCTTCTAGACTATTGAAACAGTAGTCTTTGGTCTCATACTGTGAGAAAAGAAGTCTAAAGCCTGGGCCAGCCAGAGAAGAACGCTTTCTTCTCCTGGAAAGAGATTTAAACCTGTTGGACTGCCTTGTAGAAGACCCAGTGATGTGTGGAACCACACCTTTACTGCGATTGTTAGACAGGTCTTCTATTGAAACAGCACCTCACTTCAGAATCCTGAAGGTGGACTGTGGGGGAGGGTCACTGCATTTTTCCCTCCTCTTCCTGTTGTAGCCACATTGAATAAATCTCCTCTTTGTCAGATAAATTGTTTGAGAGAATTTAAGATAATAATATACACAGAAGATTAAAAAGTAATATGTTGCCGGGCAG